CCTCTTAAGCACTGACATGCAACATGCATAGCTTGGAAGATTTATTGAAGCATAATAGTTGTTTGCAAAGCAGCACAACAATTTAGGGCAGTCAAAATTGCCAAACCACGCTATATGGAATGTTATAATTATTCTTAGTAGAGATCCATCCATGAATGGGAGTCATCTCTGTCAATTAACCAAGTAAGCTAATTCCGCTATAGATAAATGTTTGATTTTAATATCAAATTCTATAGGTATTGGGAAGACATTGCTTAACAAGCATTTAGAATAGAAGGGTGCAGTTGTGGTTTAAAAAAGAGAAAATGGAAAAAGAAAGACAAATATCCAATTTTTAACATCAGGAAATATTATAATAGACAAATATCCAATTTTTTAACATCAGAAAACATTCTTATCTTACAGAATAGGTGAGACGAAACTCACAGTATTTGTCAGCTTATGGAATCCAACTTTTATATACTTAAAGAGGTGTACATATAAATGTTTCTACTCACACATATAAATATATTATTTTTGCTTTGGACAATCATTTTATTTACTATTCTTTTTGCTGTACACAAATATATCAATTTGCAATCACTCATTTCCAAGGTTGTCCAAGTACATTAAAATAAAGACTTACATTTGGATTATAACACTATTAAAACAGACTGGATTAAGAAAATGTGGCACATATACACCATGGAATACTATGCAGCCATAAAAAAGGATGAGTTTGTGTCCTTTGTAGGGACATGGATGTAGCTGGAAACCATCATTCTTAGCAAACTACCACAAGAACAGAAAACCAAGCACCGCATGTTCTCACTCATAGGTGGGAACTGAACAATGAGATCACTTGGACTCGGGAAGGGGAACATCACACACAGGGGCCTATCATGGGGAGGGGGAAGGGGGGAGGGATTGCATTGGGAGTTATACCTGATGTAAATGACGAATTGATGGGTGCTGACGAGTTGATGGGTGCAGCACACCAACATGGCACAAGTATACATATGTAACAAACCTGCACGCTATGCACATGTACCCTAGAACTTAAAGTATAATAATAATAAATTAAAAAAAAAAAAACACTACTGAAAGATGTGGATTCTTCATATTCTGGATTCTAAATGTACTAAGGACACATTTAGACTATCAATTGGGACACTAGAACCTGCTTGAACTCCACATTGACAACACTAAGAGTCAATGTATATTTAACTTAAATTGCCCATTAAAATTTAAGCTATACTGAAACTCCAACAATGAAAATACTATACAGCTATCTTTCCTGGATAACCTTATGTCTATTCCTGGATTCCTGTTGGATGGTTGATTGGATTCAAGAGTCACATGCCTAATCTCTTTAGCAAAATTTGTCTAACCCATCCATGATGTTCTCTTCAGAGGATTCGAAATTTCCCATCTTCTGCAATACAAATAGACCAAGAATTTTCCAAACCATCAAGTCTGATTGCCTTTTTTGCTTATCAGTTTCTTTCTCAATGTATATCTTCCCTCACACATTTTGCTATAAGCTTAAGGAGAAACAAAGGCATAACTTTTCTATTTTGCTTAGAAAGCTCCTCAGGTGATTATCTAAGTTCATTGTTTACAAGCTCTAATCTCTACCCAGCACTAGAACACAATTCAACCAAATTTTCTACCACTCTATAACAAGGATTGCTTTCCCTCCTGCGTCCAATAACATGACCCTCTTTTCTTTCTGAACCCTTGCCAGATACACTTTAAACCTTTGTATTTACACCAACAGTCATTTCAAGGCAATCTAAGTTTTTTCTATTATGTGCCTCAAAATTCTTCCAACCTTTGCTCATTACTCAATTCCAAAGCCACTTTCCTGTTTTAAGGTATTTATTCCAGTGGCACTAAACATCTAGTACCAAACTCTGTATTTGTTTTCAAGGGCTGCAGTAACAAAGTGCTACAAACAGGGCATCTTAAAAGAATGTAAATTTATTCTCTCACAGTTCTGGAAACTAGAAGTCTCAAATCAAGATGTCTGCAGGCAGGGCCGTACTCCCTCTGTGGGCTTAGAGAAGAATCCCTCTTTGTCTCTTTCTAACTTCTGATGGTTGCTGGCGATCCTTCGCATTTCTTAGTTTGCAGCTGTATCACTTCAACCTCTGCTTCCCTCTCCGCCTAGTCTACTCTGTCTTATCTGTCTCTGTATCTCTCCAAATCTCACACTCCTTATAAGGACACCAGTCATTGGATTTAGCCCCCCACCCCTTAATCCAGTATGGCCTCATCTTAACTTGATGATATCTGATAAGACCCTATGTCCAAATAAGGTCACCTTCATTGGTATTTGGGTTAGGATTTAAATCTTTTATGAGGACACAATTCAACCCGTAACAGCACACGTGGCGAAATTAAATTAGCATACTTCAAATGGAAAGTATGTTTAATGGTAATCCTCCTCTCTCCTCCCCTCCCTCTCTCTCGAGACAGAGTCTCACTCTGTCACCCTGGAGTGCAATAGCACAATCTTGGCTCACTGTAACATCTACCGCCTGGGTTCAAGCAATTCTTGTGCCTCAACCTCTTAGGTAGCTAGAACCGCGGGTGTATACCACCATGCCTGGCTAACTTTTTTGTATTTGTAGTAGAGATGGAGTTTTGCCATGTTGCCCAGGCTGATCTCAAACTCCTGAGCTCAAGTGATCCTCCTGCCTCAGACTTTCAAAGCGCTGGAATTACAGGTGTGAGCCACGGCACTCAGCAATGGTAGCCTTTTTTGATCTCCTTCCCTCATTACTAGGGCCCTACTCATTTTCACAGTATTATCCTTGACACTTCTTATCCCACAGATGGAAAATAAGTGAGTAACTTCCTCATTTTTTTGGCCTATTCTTTGGCTCTAAGTTTTCATAATTCTGTAGGAAAGAGGTCATTCTGCGTATCTAAGATACTAAGACCTTTATTCGCTGATTTAGTTTATTTACATAAGACTGTAGACTTGGCTGAACGCTTTTTCCTGCCTGAATGAAATACTATGATAAATGTTTCAATACTAGAAATAAAATATAGCCTTTAATAAATCACTGAAAATCTGATGTTCCTTTGTGAAAACTTCATGTAATTAATAGGGGAAAAAAAGAAAAACTAAATAAAAAAGAAAAATGTAATCAAGTAGGTTGACAACCAGCAAAAGATAATTAAAATGATCCTGTTTTGTGTCTCGGTTTCATTAACATGTTAATGAGATTCATGAAGTTTGATATTGTGTTTTACCAAGAGCCAAAGAAATGAATTAAGAATGAAAATGAGTCCCACTGATGGAGACTCCTGATGAGTATATAAATTAATGAAAAATATGATTTGATCTAATTAATAACATACATTTTTGTGATGTATTGAACCTCAACAAAGGAAATCAAGATAAACAGGTAAATTAAAATGTTGTGTTCCTTTCACTGGCCCACATTCTGTGAAGCTTTTATGACTCAGATGAAGTGGTGGTAAATGTCAAACTCTGCTTTTCTTTATAAAGAAGCACAGGATGGAGACCCTATTCTAGGATTAGCATTGCAATAACAGCATTCCTGCTGGTGGCTCCATAGGTACAAGGTCTGGAATGGCCATCAGAGAGGCTAGGAAAGTCCACTGATTGGTCAGGGACTCCGAATTGCAAAGAGGAAGAGACAGTCCTATGTGACCAATAACTCTCACTGCAAGTCACTCAAAAGGAACAGGCCAGCATTATCCACTCGAATATATTCAAGCACTCCCCCAATTTCCCATTTGATAGAAGGATCTCAGTTCTCACTCTCCATTGACATCTTCACATTCAGAAGCACACAAAAGTGGGTATCTCCAATAATATGAAATGAAATCTTGAAACTTAAGCTTAAAATCATGTTAAAGTGTTATATCTAGATTGTAGTGAGAACTATGTGGGATATATATCATGTATACCAGATGGCAAAATACACACACACACACACACATTTACCTATTTGTCATGTCCAATGTTCAATGTGCTCAAGCATTAAGCACATATTAAGGATAACATCAAAGAGTAAATTAGAAGTGACTGACTGATGTTGGCATGAGAGAAAGAGGATAATAAATGGGAGAAACACGGTTTTAATAATGCATGATGTTGTTGTCCGCTTTTTATGATTGTTAAAATGTTTTCTGTATTAGCATTGCCAAGCGTGATCACAGTGATCCTCTGTCTCTAAGTACACAGTGTTTTTGAAATTCTGTCTTATTTCTACAGCAAGGTGCCATTTAATTATCTTTAGTTTCCTTTTAACATATTCAAGTGTCTTTGAGACAGGGTCTCACTCTGTCACCTAGGCGCTAGTTCAGTGGCACAATCATAGCTCACTGTAGTCTCCAACTGCTGGGTTCAGTGATCCTCCTGCTTCAGCCATAGCTGGGACTACACGCACACACCACAGGCGAATTTATTTTTTATTATTTTGTAGAGACAAGGTCTGGCTGTGTTGCCCAGGCTGGTCTCGAACTCCTGACCTCAACTGATCTTCCCACCTCAGCCTCCTAAATTGTTGGCGTTATACACATGAACCGCCACACCTGGCTGAGTACTCCTAAAGGACCATGAAAATCTTGTTATGTTCCTATTCTTCAACTGATAAGAAAATCAACTGCACTGAGAATCCAAAACAATGGGGGATCATTATTTTTAAATAATTAGCATTTTTGAAAATTACTTAACTTGAAACTGAAGGCCAATTAAATTTTCATCCCTAATGTGCCCATAAGGATTGTATATTATTGTAGAAAATATTTTGTAAGATATATAAAAAGCTCATCAGATTGAAGGAACTCAACTCTCTGTAACATATGATGTGTTTCTTTCACATTCCAGAACAGAAGCTAGATGTCATATACGTCTCACGAGTTTTAACCATTTGCTTATTTAAAAATTTACTTCTACAATATATCATTCATAATGACTTTATGCAAAGATAATGAAAAACTAGTGAGATGGGCCAGTCAGAGGAGAAAAGCAGACTCACCATCTCTTCTATTCAGCCTTGCGAATCCAGGACCATGACTGCTGGAGAGCTCGGAAGAACTGCTGAAGGATGCCTGAGGCAAGGCAGACACAAGAGGATCATCACAGTCATCTGCCAGGAGGAACAACGCCACATTGGGGTTAGACAGTGCTGATGGCTTTTGTGGAATCAAGAGACAAAACAACAAACAAGTAAAACAACAACACCGAAAACTAGGATCTAAGATCTCTAAAAATATGCCTACTACTTACAGGGGCTATTCTACTAGAAGTCTAGTAAGTTCAGTGAGAAAAGAAAAAGAACCTGAAGACAGGAGAATATGAAAATATTTTTAAAATCATAAAATTATATAATAAAATAATATCTTAAGGTAGAAAGGGTTATACCTCATTATAAAAGATTCGCAAATTTAGCTGTACAAAAATTAAATACTTAAGGTTTCCAAAAGACACTGTAAAGAAATTAAAAAGAAAAATCACAAAATGGAGAAAGTACTTGAAAAACCTATAACCTAGTATACAATTAGTATTCCAAATAAAGGAAAATAAAATACAAAATAAAGTAAAACAAAAACCACCTTTAAATCATGACACACATTAACAAAAATAACACAATAGCACAATCAGACTTCACAGCACAGCCTGGTGTGGTGGCTCACACCTGTAGTCCCAGCACTTTGGGAGGCTGAGGCAGGCGAATTACTTGAGGTCAGGAGTTCAAGACAAGCCTGGCCAACATGGTGAAACCCCATCTCTACTAGAAATAAAAAATTAGCAGGGTGTGGTGGCACATGCCTGTAGTCTCAGCTGCTAGGGAGGCTGAGGCAGGAGAATCGCTTCAACCCGAGGGGTGGAGGTTGCAGTGAGCCAAGATCACACCACTGCACTCCAGCTTGGGTGACACAGTAAGACTCTGTCTCAAAAAACAGACTTCACAGCACAGATCCTATATGAATTGATCCTCAAACTTCTCAGCAAAAAGAGATGTAAACTGGGACTACGAAAGGATACTAATTTACGGACATTAGACTGGCAAAATGTAGGCCAAGAGAAGCTCTGACACATTGCTCGTGGGAGTATAAACTTGAGCAATCACTTTAATAAAAACCACTTTTCATTAGTTGTATATCTGAACTTTCCCCTACCCTGTGTTCCACCAGTTCCTTTAATATATGTAGGTCCTTCTATGATGAACCCTTGGTCTCAAGGAGTTTTGTCTTTTTACCCAAAGGTGATATACAAATACTAGTAATTTTGTGTCCATGAAAATAAAAAAGTACTCAGAGGAGCTTGCATTTGTACACCAGGAGACATGTATGATTTCTAGCAACGTTGCTCATAATAGCAAAAAAAAAAAAAAAAAATTGACAATCAGATATCCAATGGCCAAAGAACAAATAAAACAGAGTGCTTTTCACAATAGAATAATATACACCAGTAAAAGAAACAACAACACAAAACAGAATAGTTGAACCTTAGAAGGGACATTTTTGAGGAAAACTAGTTATAAAATAATATATAATATGTTGATCGTTTTGAAAATCTTAAAAAGCAAAGCTAAGTAATACTGTACGTTGTTTAGGGACACATATGAGTTTAAAAAACCACTTTTACAAAAAGAAATGAAAGTTACAAAACTCAGGATCTTGGCTACCTTGAGAGAAAAGCGGAATCAACATACATGTATACAGTTTTAATGTGATGGAATGCTCTAATTTGGGGGTAGGTGGTGTCAGAGGTGTTAGAACCAGAGTGACTCCATCTTGAGTGAGGGCCAGGGAAATGAGGCTGAGACTTGCTGGGCTGCATTCCCAGAAAGTTAGGTATTCCTAGCCTCTAGACGCTTAGAGTTAAGGGAACAGATTGATAATGTTTACTAAACAGACCCAGACTTAGGCGTGTCCTGATATCCCAGTATCTTGAGAACAAAAGCATTTCTAATTTTGCTTTAAAGATATTAGTTGATTCTTGCAAAATATAGTAATTAAGAAAATTAATCCTTTATCACGAACCCTTGTAGCAGAGCTCATCTCCCTATGATCTTTTCTAATCCTATATAAATACACACACACACACACACACACACAAGTATTTGTACCAAGGGTAGACGCATTATTCCTCTCACTTTCAGAAATGCCCTACTCTGTCTATGGAGTTGCTGAACTTTCACTACTTTACTTTCTTAATAAACCTGCCTTTGCTTTGCATTGCTGACTCGCCCTGAATTCTTTCTTGCGCAAGATCCAAGAACCCTTTCTTGGGGTCTGGATTGGGACCCCTTTATGGTAATAATGGCATAGTCACAGGCTTCTAATTATGTTTCATATAAAATATATAACATACACATGCACATACATATTGATACACATTTACATATGTATCAATATGTATATATACATATTAATGTGCACACATATTTATCGTCTACCCTTTTATGTGTATCACATATATTGCTTCTAATATTAAAAGATAAAGCACAAAGAATGAAGGAAAGCATAAGAATAATCTCATGTGTATCATGAAATCCATACATGTTTAATTTATTCAGCCAATTCCTCATTCGATGTCATCTTTAAAGCATATTTGCCTTTTATATTGTACTCTTAAGTTGTTCCCAGTTTTGCTCTAATCAGAAAAATACTTCTCTCCCGTTTAGTTTTTAACATACACATTCTGAAATTTAAAATTATACAGGGTTACTGTCCCAAATGTTTTAATTAATGGTGATTTAACTTAAATAAAATAAATCTAAAATTATCTAGATTCACCTGAAATTTTATTAAGTTTATTATACCTGAACCTAATTTGTTCTTGAATGCCTTTCCCAAGAACTTACCTGAGGTAGCATTTTACTTTTCAAGATTGTCTCAATTTCATTCAAAGTCTACTTTTTCTTACTCTTACCTTAAATTCTTTCACCATTACAATAAACAGCTCCTGCATGTCTATTGACTAGCTTAAGTACTAACGCCAGCCAATCCAGTTGTAATTCAAGAATAAAGAGTGTAGATATAGACAAATATACAACCCATGGAGGGGTGAAGGAAATTCTGATTATTGCCAATTACAGGCAACAACAAAAATGTTTTAGTATGCTGTGGAAACTATGGTGTGTATGTTTACGCACACAAGTGAGTGCATTCCATATATGGAAGGAGGGCTCATATGTGGGTGTGTGTTTACTAGAACTAGGAATTTTTAAAATCATTTTCAGCTTGCGGGTATAAATGTGCTGAAAAGGGTGTTTAATTGCAATTCACAATCAGTTATGTAGATTCAGGTTGATGTTTTGGATGTAATGCCTCTCCGGTACAATCACTCTAGGGAACGTATATTTATTGTTCATTTGTTTTTGCCAACTATAAATTAAGAATCAATATTGTTCTACCTCTAGCTTTAAAAGAGCAGAATTAAAACAAAAGAAGGGGTACTTCTTCCATTTGTGGGGAGAAAGACATGTAATATGGAAAACACAAGGGCACACAGGGGGCTTGTGATATTTGGTCAAGTTTTGGTTGTTGACCTTGGTGGTTACGTGGCTTTATTATTCTTTACCATGAGCATATACCTGCCCCTACAATCTGTTGTATGTTTATTTAACGATGATATATTGTAGTTATTCTTACAGAACTAATAATAACTAAGACACATTAAGAGGACACTCTGTGCTAGGTAGTTATAATCCTGCCACACACAGTAACTAATCTTTACCCCTCCTTGTTGATATATTGATGTTATTCTCTTACAGATGAGATCATTGAACACAATTCTATTAATTTGCTCTTCTCATTGTGGTAGAACCATATCTGTAACACGAGTTGGGGGCCAGAATCCACCATGTAAGAATACCATGACTATAATTATTATTTCTTTAGGTTTGAAGTGTAGGAATTCCATCAGACACCATAACAGTATGAATAGATTCTCTCTAAAGGAGTGTGTACTTCAGTTCCAGGTTTGCCAGGCTATTTATTTCCCATTTGATCTTCAATAGTCTTGACAACAGAGGAAGGGAACCTCAAAGAGTAATAATCAGTCTGGAGTGAACATGATATTTTTCTCTACGTAATAAATTGGAATTTGGATTAAGCGTTAACTCTCCTGGGTTTAATTCCAGAAAACCAGTTTTCTCTGACTGCACCAACAAAACACAGGATCTAGACTAGAAAAGCTAAGGACCACATTCCAACTCCAGAGGTTCTCAACCAGAGATAATTTTGCCCTCCTGCTCCCCACTTCCAGTAAACATTAGCAATACCTGAAGACACCTTCGTCATCACAACTAAGAGAGGATACTTCTGGCATCTACTGGGTTGAGTCCAGGGGTGCTGTTAAACATTAGACAAAGCACAGGGTAGCCTTCTACCACAAAGAATGGCCTGGTCCCAAATGTCAGTAAGTACCAAGGTTGAGAAACACTATTCTACAATCTGGTAACACAATTCAGCAAACTAGACTTCTCCTGGAGTAATCTCTCAGCTAGAACTTCCAATGATTATTAGCTCTAATTTTCAGATGCAAATAAAGATTATTCAGTGCACGTGGGTATACAGGCATTTAAGTAGGGGCTTTTCACACCGGAAATAACATTTTAACTATTTCAGCCTAAAACATAATTGCATTTTTAAAAAATTAAGTGCTATATCATCCTGGTCCCTTTACTGCTGAGCCACGGCAAGATTCTTGGTAAAAAGGGGTACAGGAGACCATGGAAGTCTCCATTCACTAGAGAAATTTAGTAATAGAGTAACCAAACATTTCATGGAAGGTTGTACAATTGAAAATGCAGCTGAGTACGTTGAATTCATCATTGTTTTCTTCAATTAGAGAAGAAATGAACATCACTCTCATTACTCCATGCTTATCCAAAACTGTGTTACATTTTATGTGACTTTTCTCAGTCATGTTAGAATTTCCACATTAACCTTGATATCAGTTGCAAACAGTGAAACTACAGCTTCAGTCTTTTCATTAAAAAATTTATATACACTAAGTACATCTACAATATGTTTTAATGAATTCTGTTAGAATGCCTACATTAGAAAAAAGTATGCTGAGTCATTTTCATACACATACACCATATACACACAAATCTATGGCTTTCTGTTCAAC